TCCCTTTGTATCCACTAGCGAGCCTTCTTACGTGGCATTTTAGGCATCACTCGGCTGAGCTGGCTAAGGATAACCTTACAAAAGCTCCTTCAGGAATCACCTAAAGTTTCATTTTTGTTTTTTCCATTCTTGCCTTCCCCATTTCTCTATTCGAATTTTTTGTTTCAGTTTTTTTTGTTTAACAAATTCGTAAAAAATTGGATTCGAATCGTTACCTAAAAATAAAAAAATACATTTACATATGACCTGACGTCACTAGACCAAAAATCAAAGTATGAATTTTTTGTTTAAGTGGTGTGATAGAATAAATGTAAAAACAATTTGTTAATTATTAAACATAGAAAATAGAAAAATCGAATCAAAGTGATGGAAAGAGACATCCATTGGAAACATGGGTCATACTTCGTATTCTGAAATTAATTTTTATATATTTTAATTTTAATTTATTTTGACAAAATAAAAAATCAAAAAATCTTAATATATTAATACTTTCATCAAACTATTCATGGCATGGGTCTCAGTTTAGGATCCACGCGATGGATATTTTTTGGGGTCCATTTATTTTTAAGTGATTTTAAAAGTATATAATTAATATTTAAATTTTTTTAATGTCAAGGAGGAGACTCAATTCACAGATTTTTAAATTTATATTGAAAATCCCTAATAAGGGAATTGGTAGCAACTAAATTATTAAGACTTTTTTATATTATTAATATATATATATATATGTTTTTGAACATAGGGAAATTAGAGGAAGCGAATCAAAAGAGATGAAAATTGAAACCTTACGTCTTAAATGAGATGTTCTTAACAAATGCCTTCTCATATCATTCATATTTATTTAATAAAAATAAAAAAAAATTAATATTTATCAATACTAGTTTTAAAAGTTAAATATAAAATTTAACTTATAAAATAATATTTACTAATAATAAATTTAACCTTTTTGCCCTTTTTCACTCTTTTATTTCATCAACAGTGGATCAGTTTCAATCGACAATTACTCAAATTTTGTTGTCGACTAAAAATAAGCTATCCAAAATTTGCCTTTTTGTCCTCTGGATTTCAGATCAGACAGGTGGGAATTCTATGTCGAAAGAGGGACCTGTTTGCTGAACTTGGAAAATTTTCTGTTGCAATAATTAATTTCCTGAGTTTAATAATTTCATCAATATCAATTTTTTATTACACTCATATTTCACTTCTCATACATATTTTAAGGGTTTGACTTTGGGCAAAGTTGCAAGTAATTTCTTTATTAATTTATGCAAAAAATATAAAAATTAACTTTATTTTTAAAATTAATGATATATAAATAATTTTAATTAAATAATTAATAAAATTAAAATTAATTTTTTATTTTTTATAACAATTAATAAAAATATAAAAATAGTACACCATTACCTATACCTTTATGATATAAGTTAAAAACAAAAAATTAATATTTTAAATTCAATACATTTATAAAAATTCTATCATATCAATACTTTTACCTTATATTTAAATTAAGAGAAATAAGAAAGAAGCAAATTACATCTTTTCCTTTCTTTTTATTTCCCTTCATTATCTCTATTTAAATGAATAATAAAATTAAAAAAAAATCTCTCTTTTTCTTTAATTTTTCTATAATTAAATAAAAACAATAATTTGATAATTTCTCTTTTTCTCCCTCTTTTATTCTCCTCAATCTAAGCGCACTGTTAAAGAAGGTATGGCTCTATCGCACTTCACGCACGTATATAATGTGGGAGCTAGAATTCGGTTGCGGCATTATAACGTTGCTTAACCGACGACGGGTTGGATGAAGTGGTAAGCGACTTATTCCAATTTAAGTAAGGTCTCAAGTTCGAGATCTTATATACGCAGCATCCTCTGCTGAGAGACTCACTCACCATTTTTAGGTGCGTGACGCGGGTCGGATCTGGATTAGTCGGAATGAAGCCCCGGATACCAGGCGGGAAACCAAAAAAAAAAAAAAAATTATAATGTTGCTTCGGTTTTTACCCTCTTATTACGATATTATTTTATTTTTCTTTTGCAAGATATAGTCACTGAAAACTTTTTTTAAAATCGGTATAGTTTGAGGTAGGAAATAAAGAATTATAATATGGAAACATAATAATATTATGATTTAAACTTTAATCATTATTAAAATATTAAATATATATTAAGTAACTCATGATATCTATGTAGTCATGAAAAAAATTGATCATTTTTTTAACATATTATAATTTAAAAAGAGGAAATTCAAACCTGGCTCTAAAGTTAAGAGTATACCTTATGTGAAAATATATAAAACTATTAGATTACGAAATTTAAGTGAGAAAAAAAAAAAGAAAGTTGTTTTGATTGATATGAGAAGTTTCTACTCCATTAATTTTGACTCTTCCAATCACTATGTATTCCTTTCCAATGAAGAGTGATGTTATTGTTACACCCTCAATTATTAATATTACATATTTTTATTTTAAATGATTATTATATTTTTTAATTTATTAAAAAATATAAAATTTTTAAAAAAAGTGTAATATAAATATATA